ACCCTGGCAAGTCTACTTCACTAACTTTAGTGAATGATAGGAGAGGGGTTCTGAGGGGTTCCCAGAAAACTGGGAACAAAAGAGGAAAACCAAAGTATAAATGTAGGTAACTGCAGCCACTGACACCCTACACACCTAACAGCCCCCATTTCTTACATATGTGTGAGAGTGTCTCTGTATGTCTCAGCTCCACATGTCTCCTCCAAGTCCCCCAAGTCCCTGGTGCAAGTCCAAAGCCGAGGCAAATATGCCCCTTTTCTCCTGCTCCACCTTCCCTTCTTCAGCATACCTGCTTTCTGTCGCATTGCTTCACCTGGCTGCTCAGCTCATTAGAGGCAGCAGGGAACATGGAGAGATTCTAAGTCTTTATGGAACTCTTCTGTTGCACGGCGACATCTACAGCTGCCTTTACCACTGGATTAATAAAAATTCTGAAGGCCTCCCTGGTGGTACTGGGATTAAATCATGTGTAAAACTGGAAAGTAATGGTCAAATCATAAGTTCACTCATCACAAAGATATTATTCAAAATAAACATAAAATGCAACACTTTATTAAAGTAAAAGTATCTTTACTATTAATATACAAATGGTGAAGAGTGACAATTCTGATATACTGTAAGCCATACTTTCAATGTCTCTCATAAATACAAAACTTCAACATTTGCAGTATAATTTTTACAGTTTAGACATATATATACAGCATTTCATAGGGACATACTATAGTGAAACAATAAGAAAACTTTGTGGTAGCTAACTTAGGAATATAGAATTTGAATGGAATATATAAGTTAACGAAAATAAAAGTATGTTTTAATGCATACTGAACACAGTATAGAATTTACATACCAAAAAAAAAGTTTTTTTTTTAACCTTTATTTCTAAGAAGTTCACATATTCCTAACAAAGTTTAGAGGCAAATGCTAAACCATGAACATTCCTTTACGAATTGGAACAAATATGTTTACTCTTGGCAGTATCATTAACATGTATAATGAATGCTGTTCTCTTAAAAAATGCTATTTGCAAAAGTGAATCATTGGATGTATGTATGTAACTTTATCCTATGTATTCAACTTAAGTTTTTTTTTCCTTTGTATCCATATAACTGGCGTTAATTTTGATCTCAGCAATATGCCTGGTCCCTCGTCCATCACCTCTTACACTGAGGTCCTTCCTATCCCAAATGCCGGAGTTGATTTTGTGTTTCTGGACTCTTTCACTTATTTGTTCCACTAATCTCCTATGACTGGTTATGAATTAAAATGCTCCAATAGTCATTGATTTGATTATTTTTTTCCAAGGAAAAATAAAGATAGATAGTTGTTTTTATTCTGGAAGATATGTGTCTTTTATTTCTGGAAAAAATACAATTAAGTGGTAATATAAAATTTATAAGGGTGATTTTTTATAGTAATCATTATGAAATCCTGAAAAACTATTTTAATAAATTGGAAGTGTTATCAACAAATGTATTTAACTTCTTGATAAAAGCCTATAGTGAATAATGAAATATTTCACTAAGAATAGTAAATGTGTTATCAAATAAATATTGAGCATAATATATAATATAAAAGTCTCAGACTTTTATATGAAGGGAAATAATTTATCTATTAGCATTCTCATATAATGTTGAATAGCTGCATCTACATGGGTAAATGCAATTTTTCACAAAGGAGAGGAGGGACCTAGAAGAAAATTATATTTGTTTAGCAACTTCTACATCAAGGCCATTTTATATCTTTCTCATTTATACATATAATTGTTTCATCTTAGAATATTATTAAGGCCAAGGAGTAGAATTTCTCTTGAAATAGTTTCTATTTAGGATTGAAATACTTCATTTCTGTGGCATTCCACACTTAAGCATATGTTAATAAGTCCATATGCAATTTCATTATGAGATATAAGGTACTAATGCTTCAAAGGTTTAAGAAGATGTAAATCTTTTCTCTCTAAAGATAACTAATGATTACAATCTCATTTAAAAATATTTTCACTTTTCATAATTTTTGAAAAAGCACTCTGTATGTGATGATGAAAAATAATTTCAAGAGGTACTGAAATTGAACAATTATATTTTTCTCTGAAAAAAAAATAGCATGAGTAAGTAATTAAAATATACTATTTCAATTTTTCTTAAATTAAGAAATGGAGATTATCCTTTCTATCACTTTAGTTATATATATTTTCATTAGTGATTATCTTGTCAATAATAAAGATGACTCATGAAGTCAAATCAGATATTTAACAGGAATAATATAGACCTAAGTGACACTACAATTGTTTACCTTATTTTAAAAGTCATCTCTTGTCAAAGCCTTATGGATTGGTTTATCTGAATTTCCCCAATATCTCGAATACATCATTTACCTAGAAAAGTTATGCAGAGCAAACTGAGAATATTTTTTGTGTGCATCAAAAGAATGTTTTTTTCCATTGGTAGAAATAAATTACACAGTGTATATATTTAAATTTTAAACTCCAGGTAAAGTCATTTGAATTGAGGCTACTCACTGAATGTGAATAACACAGCATCAATATATCCTCAAGTGATTAAATATTTCAATGAAGATTGTAGTTTGCTTTTTCTTCTAATAAAGCAGAATGTCATGCTAATCCAAAGGCACAAATACATCTTAATTATTTTTAAAATAGAAGCTAAAAGAAAGGGTATAATTATAAAGTTACAATTAATTGCTGGCACTCAAATAAATAGTATGATTAGTAAAAAACTATTTATAGAAGTGACTAAAGACCAAGCTTATTATAAGCTTTGTTGGATCAAATAGTTTGTGAAATGTTTTATAGTATTAATGATAAAAATAATGGAAAATTTGAGAATCATTGCATTAATGTTAGACATTAGTACCAATAGGATGAAATATGTTGACCCCCCAAATAATAAATATTAAAAATCACAATTCTTATTAAATGTCTTCACAAATCATTACAAAATATATCAAAATTAATTTGTGCCAGTATGAAAACCAAATATGTGCAGAAATGTTAACATTACTGTTTCATCTTAAATGCTGAATGTAAATTGTCCTTGTCTGATTGCTCATCATCTATCAGGAAATACCAATATTTTTCAGTGATATTTTGCTTCTGTGTTTAAATTATCTAAGGGTTCTAATTATTTAATAGTATTTATATTCAGACAACTGTTTTGATATTTTATACTAACACTTCATTCTTTCAGACAATAAAAATAACATTTATACAATTATATGAATGTCTTTTAGTCTAGAATAAGAATGAAAAATAAGAAACAGATTATTTTAGTTCTACTCATACTTTACATTTACTACAAGCCATCTCTTATTTAAAACTTTTACAAATTATTTGGAACATCCCACTGAATTATTAAAAAAAAAAATTTATCACAGTAATGCCTCGCTCTTGCACGGCACAGATTTCAAGGACAAGAGGTAAGGACCACTCAGACAACTGAAACAGTGCACTTGAAATTGTCTTACAATTAGTTCCAGAGTATCCATCACTTTAGATCATTGCTGCACATCAGTGGCAAGAAATCTGACAGCACGAATTGAGATATATATATATATATATATATAAGAAATGCTTAAGTAAATTGCATTACATGGAAAGTCTGAAAAATGAGAGAAACAGAACTTAAAATGACGTAAACACAAAAATATGTATTTCTTATTATCATTTCCCTGCTTTTGAAGTATAATATGAATAAAATTATAGTAAACATGATCACTTGCTTTAGCAGTTTTCCTCATTTCTTTTGCTATGATTTGCTTAAATCCATGTAGCCCTCTCCAGAAAAAAAAAATAGCATTCATGGTTATTGCTTCATGGACACATTTACAAAGTCCCTTTACTTTGCACAAACAAATTCAAGTATTTTAACTAGCTTTAGCACATTGATGCAAAAAGGGGAGAAAAGATAAAATAAAGCAAGCAGATGAACACACAACATAACTTCAACAGAAATAGTCAAATCTGTGGAAATACCAGTTAGATAATGCCTCCTCAGATTTCCAGATAGGCACAGGGATTCTTTTCTTCAGACTATGTCATAATGTATAATAAGGATAGATTCCTGTATTTTCACCTTGCAACGCATGGCAAGGATAGTGTGGAGATTGAATGCCCAAATGCAGAGATGGGCTTATTTTACCCTGCCCAAAGCCAAGTTTGCTTGTACTTAATTGTCTCTTCTTGATCGACAATTTCAAACACTTTATAAATAAATGTTTTGAGTGGCATTAATATTACATTTAATGATCAGCAAATTATCTCTACAGAGAGAAACATCCCCAAAGCAGGTCACTCTGCTATGTTAAAATATTCTATTAAAATGCATTCTTCATTCCAGTAACTATTTGATCTATAATACCACTGAAACCCTAATGGTTATGGGTAAGAGGGGGCCGAAAGAAAACGTTGCGTCTCTAGTGTAAAGAATAATCTAAAACCTGCTCCCAAATGGTATGTATATTTATTATCATAAATAGATTTGTTTTACCTTACATTAAGTTAAAGTCACTTAGTTTCAGTCTTTTACCTCTCAGAGCTTGCATAGCTTGGAAGTTAATAAATATATTATTCTGAATAGACACAAGTAATATTTGAAAGTTTGTATTGAATAGTTAAGGGATTTTTTTCAAATAAAGTTGTTCATCAAAATCTTACATGACTTCTACAGTGTCCACAATAAAAGGAGTGGCAATTCAATTATTTATCATTAATATTGTATGACCTGCTTACATTTAAATAATTTCTTCTTAATTTAACCAAACTGAAGGTTTCATTTTTATTAGCCAATTACATTTAATTATTGACCTATAGTGGAAAAAAATGAGAATTACGCAAAGACTATCTGAAATAATGGGTAAAGAATATACCTAGAGATAAGGTTTCAAGTATCTGAATACTAAAGATTTGTTTTTATATTTTTTTGGTAAAATCATTGAAAAAAATAAAAGATAATCATATATTTATAAATATATCAAGACAACATTGATATTGTTCCCATTTCAATTTATTTTATTTGAAGCTGAGGGCAGAAATCAATATAATTTCACTTGCAATACATTTATTGTGTGTGTGTGTGTGTGTGTGTAATCCACTGTGGGAGAATATGGCATATAGAAAGTGAGATTTACGGAATCTTCCTAATCTAATTTTACACTCAACTAATATGCTTTTAAATGGGTAACAATTTTGATCTGGCACTTCAGTCTATCAAAAATCAACATTGAAACAGCACTGTAATTATAAATGGAAAAGAGTTCCCCAAAGTATCTCTCCATTTTTATTACCTATTAAAGATAACTGGGTTTCCTGAAATTCCCCTCATAAAAATGAACCTTTATTCACTGTTTCCTTCTTAAGCTCATCAAAGTCATTTTAATATAATCTAATTGCCCAAAATAGTGAGAAGAAAAAAAAAAACATGCAGGGCTTTCTTATACATTTAACTCACAAAACTTTTGTTTCGTGTTTTCTTAAACCCTTGTTTATGGGAGAGATCATAGTATAAAGCATTGTTCTTAAGAAATAGAGCACTTTAGCCATATAGTAACTTGCAGTACTTCAATCATAAAATGAAATTGATACCAAAGAGCTGGTGCCAGTCAGGTCTCTATACTGAAATTCTTACCAAAATAAATGACAGCGAGAACAACAACAACAAAAGGAAATGGACCATGAACAGGAGTATTTGATCATATGTATATGTGTACAAGCTATTCCAAGCTAGAAGTTCCCCAAGAAATTAAGGTCAATGTAATAGTTTTGGTCATAGGGTCACTGAAATCCAGATGTTCTCTGTAGTGTGGTTCAAGTATCTGTAATCTTGTTATGCTTTGCTGTCATCCTCTTTTGACTGAATGATATCATTAGAAACTTTAATTTCTATAGTTTCTGGAGTTAGGACTTCTTTCCCATTTTCTTCTTTTAAAGGCAATTTTCTGGAAGAAATTATACAAATAACAGACTTCATTTTCTAAGGCATGTTAAGCAGTATTCCTTAACATTTAAGTTGTTATATAAGAAAATAGGTTGTAATGATTAGAATGAAAAAAAAAAAAACAACTCAGACTTGTTAAAGTGATATCATATTTTCAGAAAATAATATGAAAGAATAAAACATTATTATAAAATGTGATATATATAAAAGGACATCCTTCTAGATTAGATACATTAAATCTGATTTGTAACCAGTTGTTGATAGTAAACATGAGTGTTTTGGAATGAAAAAAAGCCGCGACATTTTTATATGTCAACTAGATGACTTTCTGGTGCTCATTTTTTTGAGTAAAAACAATCATTGATGCTATCACATTCATTTGCATACACTTCAGAAGCTGGGACATTGGAACTTAATTCAAAGCATGTATTCAGACTTCCTTTTTGACTATGCAAATGTCCTTAGTTTGCCTCTTTCACTATTTTTTGTTGATGCTACATTTGTGTCGCTAAAGGCTACATTTTTTGAGATCTGTCTCCAGCTACAAAGTATGGCATCATAGGAAACCTGTGTTCTTTGATTTTAAGACAACTGCACAAATATTTGATTTTAAGATAACTGCACAAATGGTCACGACGTGGTCACTTTGTCACAAATGGTAATGATCAAGATTTCTAGTTTTTTTCTACCACTGTGTTATTTATTGTACTACTATTTTCAAATGCAATGGTTTCCTATTGTTTTGTATATATGGTTTTGGGGTTAATTTTTTTCCTCTTTTGACAATTTTTTTTCCACATCAATATACTTTTTTTAAATGATTTATTTACTTATGCATACAGAACTGGGGTACATGCTAGAGGTGGGGGTGGTGGTGTGAGAGGATTCACCAGAGACAGAGTGGGGATTAGAACAGGAGGAAGGACTGAAATACATTGCTGAGGGGAGCAGCGGGCCGGTCCAGAGGCAGTCTGCTGCACCATGTGTGTCACCTCTGTGGTAGGGGACTGAAGTCCTGCTGCAGTGTCTGCAATAGCTTCACAGTGCTGTGCTTAAACCCATTGTGCTACCCGGGAGAGCCACAAAACACTTTCTTATAAACTGAATGACAATTCACCTGTGGTTTTTGTTTAACTACTTAATGGGCTGTAAACGTTGCTTAGCTAGTATCTCTGTGTTTCAATTCTATTTTATTTTGTATGTTTAAGTAGAAAAGTCAATAGTTATATTCTGAAAATCAAAAGTATCACGAGAAAATTAATCCAAAGTAAGTCATAGGCTAAAACTACTAGGATTCATTTCTGGGAATGAAATGGCATGAACTGGCTCTGCTTGATGGTGCAGCGGTTAAAGCACAGCACTGCAAGCCAGCCGCAGCAGCTTTCGTGAGCTGGATCCCAGGCCACCTGGCACAGCAGAAGTCTCCAGTCTTGCCCGCTGCTCCCCTCAGCAGTGTGCTTCATTGATCTGCCTGCTCTGCTCCCCACTCTGTCTCTGCTGAATCCTCTCACCGCACCTCTGGCTTGTACCCCAGTTCTGTATGCATACATAAGTAAATTAAAAAGAAAAAGAAAAAGAGAAGAAAGGCACCTAATTCCTTGATGGTGTGTTGTTGCAATTATAACTTTTTACTACTTTTGCGTAACCTATTTTTTTTAATTCATTGTTAAGTCTATTATTTTATGGTGCTTATTTGTTGCTTTATTGAGCTCCTGAGTAATAGTCCTAATCCTATTTTCTGTTTTCTTTTGTTTCAGAAAATTGCACATAATATCATATGTAGCTACATATGCATTTTGTAGCTAGTTTTCATAAACTTCTATATATCTATTTAAGTAATAATTAACAGGAAATACTTTATCTTAATATGTAATATTTTGCTTCATTTAAAATACTTCTGATTTCTGAAGGGTGGATAATAGGACTCACCTGTGAGTTCTAACCCTATAAGAAGTAGGTCAATTTAGAAAGAAATAATCTCTATCTATATGTAGTCAGTAATAACTTGGGAATGGTGATTGAAATTTTTGCTTAGTTTGGTCCTTCATATTTGTTTAAATGTTTATCATTTCATCCCTTTGAGAGCAGATTGACGGGTTTTTTGAAGCAGGTAATTTTATTTTCTTCACCTGTGAAAGCATTCATCCTTTGATTTAGGATGAGAAGTTTAAATCAAAATTCTCTATAAGAACTCCATCTTATCGAGAACTCTGTTCTCTGTAAGAATCTCCTCCCTACCTGGTGGAGATAAAGGGATATTGGCTGTATAAGACAATACAATTTAAAGGTCAGTAGTTTACGGATAATGTGATAGTCATGGTTTTATCAAAGTCGTGGCATTCAGCAGAATACTGATGTTACTTCCACTCAGTGCTGCCTTTGTTTTCAATGACTTCACTTAATCAGTTTTGCATGTTTTCACCATCTTAATAGATTTTGTTGAAATATCTTCTCTAGTTTGTTGGCACTTTGATGGATGTAGAAGGAAATAAATAACAATCTTGCATAGAGATCAAAATACCATTTGTATGCAGCTATCAAAATATAAACAGTGAATAATATTTCTTCCTTTTCTTAATAAAAATCCTCTTTCTTGAGTGGATTTTACTATTTCTAGTTTAGACTGGCATATTCAAAGTGATGACTGATTTCCTGACACATCTTGAGTTAAGTAAAAATCAATCACATTTTGAAAGTCTTACTTTCTTAAAAAGTAGGATTAATTTAGAAAAATCTAATTCTGGAGTGCACTTCTATATTTTTATATAAAATTATACCTGCATGTTGGAACAGTAGATTTTCTCTGAAATAATTGCAAGGTTCCCATGAGAAATGTTTCACTAAAAAGTGGGTTTTAGAGATTGACAAGTATTTTCACTGGAAATCATTTTCTATAAAGGATAATATTTGTAAAAGCACACTACAGCTGAGGTGTTATTACTTTACAAATATTTATCCAAAATAATTATACAGTCTAAACTACATACTCAGGTTCTGTAAGTGGTGTGGTTTCATTTGGCTCATTTACTGGACTTCCGTCTTCATGATTAGTTATTCTTTCATCTTCTGTTCTCATCTCCACGATGGGTTCTTTTGATCCATCTTTCCTAGAAAAGTAAAGAAAACATTGTGTGTAAAGTGGATGAGTTGCAGGATAGGTCATAAAATTGACCTAATACCATCTCCCCCATTTAAATGCAACATGTCAAATTTAGAATGTAAGTATTTTTTTTTCTATTTAAACTCTTTGCTGTATACTTTCTCACTCAGAAAGTCTTTTTTTTTTTTTTTAGCATTCTCTTTTTAATTTCAAAATCCAATAGTTCCTTGTTGGCATGTAGGAAAGCGATTTTTATATCTGATTTTATATTCTATAAATACACTTAAAATACCTACTGGACTGGTTTCAGTAATTTTGTTATTTATTACTTTCTACAATTTTGTATCACTACTGCTATCTTCTCTTTAAAGTAGCTTTCTTGACATGTCTTGCAAAACATGTATCTATTGACAACATAGTTCCTTATTTACCTGAGAAAGGTTTTATATCTTCTTCACTTTTGAAGAAAGATTTTACACTGTACAGTATTATAATTGGGTGTTTTTATTTCTCTCAATAAACATTTCACTGTTTCTTCCTGCTTGCTTGGTTTCTGAAGAGAAGTTGAATGTAACTCTTAGCTTACTTAATCTGACATGACAAAATTAAATGGAGGATATGGTATTATACCTTCACTATAGGTAATGTTTTTTTTTTTTTCTCCAAATCTTTCAGGATTTTTTCTTGAGTTTTTGTTTATCTTTGATTTATCTTTATAAATGGTATGTCTAGGTATAGATATTTTGGTTACATTTGCATTTGTGTTTTATCCTCCCTGTTGTTCTGTGAGTTACCTGAGTCTGTAGTTTCATGGTTGTTTTTATCTTTTTATTATTTTTTAAAGATTTATTTATGCATACAGGCCAAAGGTGCAGGGGGTGGTGAGAGGGTTCACTAAAAAAAAATGACTATATAAATTCCCTTTTTACATAGCTCTTCTAGCATAGATGACTCATGTATTTGAGTGTTTATGTTTCCTAGTAGAGTAAAAGATAGTTCTTGAAAAGGACTTGGCTTTTTTTCACAGCTATGAGAATTAGTCTCATATACAAACAACTGAATATTTGTTAAAATAAACAAATACCTGGGTAAATATTTGTTAAAATAAACAAATACCTGGGTAACTAATACAAACAATTGAATATTTGTTAAAATAAACAAATACCTGGGTATTATAGTTTGATAAACTGAATTATCATTAGCCAGGTTTATAAAATAAGCTACAAAGATGCAAGGTAAACATAAATATAAATAGCTAAGGTTCAAATAATGGGATAATCTGGGCTTTTTATACTAACGTCATCTTATGAACCATTGACTTTAATTTCTTTTTTTCCCTGAAATAAAATGACCTTTAAAAACTATTCTAATATTATAATTAATGTTATTTTTAATTGTGTTATATAGTCTTTGATAACATGAAAGCATTCATCTCAGAATGCTTCGGTGCGTGTTTGGAATCAAGTGAAAATATAATGACTCAAACCAGTAGATCCTGTTTCTCACTGATATTTTACATTGTCTCTTTTAAAAAATCATTCTGTTCTTTTTCAAACCTGAAGAGTGATTTTTTTTTTTAAAGTTTTCATCGTTTTTTCGACACAGGGAAATTATGATGTAAAAGCTATGATGGGTAATAAGCATGGAATGAACCGCGTGTTTCCATCTTCTCAAGTCTTTAAGGTTAATTAAACACAGCAGGGTTTATAAGTCAAAGTGTTGGTGGATAAATTAGCAAATATGAATCAAGTAAAAATAAACAGCAAAACGTGAATGCAACTTAGTATTTTGCAGATGGTCACCAACATCCATTCTGTTAGTTAAGACAATAATATGAAGGTCCTTCATATTTTTGCTTTTTGTTTTGATGCTAAATCCATTCAATCAATAATAGTTGGTGCTACCAAGGAATAATTTAGAAAGTGGGTACAGGCAGTCTGTTACGAACAGGGTGCCCCAAGCTCTAAGTCCATTTCCTGGCCTGATTGAAGAACAATCACAGACTGGGAGGGTGCACCCCTCTCCCAATTCAATTAAAAATTGAATGTTCAAAACACCAACAAAATAGCATACTAGCTATGGACCAAAGCTAGTTTCAGAAAGAGACCAAGTAATATAGGCAAACTCAGTGGATCTTGGAAGTATAGGGTACCCCAAAGGCCCAGTGAATCAGCAAGAGACACCCAATAACCAAACCACCAGTCCTCACACATCATACCCATATAAAGACCTAAGTCTCACCACTTCTACAGATACCCACTAGGGACCCATCTCTGCTGGGGGGAGTTTCCTTTACTTCCAACCAATCAAATCTCTTATTTTTCTATCGCATTGTTCTAGACATTGAATTATTTCCTCGCTGAATATAAGAACCAAGAAAGGGCATCTCTGGCTCCAGGCTTGCTTCCAAAACCCTGATTCACTACCTCAATGGGACGTACCTTTATTATGCCTATAGTTATTACTGCTTTGATCCAGAAGGTCATTGTTTTCCACCTGGAATGTTTCAAGATTCTATCTGGCCTCATCTCACTACTTCTAAATTGTTCCATTACACATACCAACATGCCAAATAAGCCATACTTCACAAATACCTAAAGTCATCTTAATTACCCTCCAGTTGCTTTTGATTTAAAAATAAATTCCGGGACCTCCCTGGTGATAGAAGGTATAAGTCTCAACAATATGAAGCTATCCACAGGTACTGAAACACGAGTTTGATCCTCAGCCTGGGAGCTGACCCACATGGCACAGCAGACTCCTGCTGCCCCTCTCAACAATGTGTTTTGGTTTCTACCCACCTGTTCTGCTCCCCACTCTGTCACTGGTGAATCCTCTCAACAATTCTCCCTTGCACCTTTGGCCCATTCCCCATCTCTTTTATGCATAAATAAATAAAATCTTAAAAAATAAGTTCCAGAAGATTTAATATTTTAGTCCCTATGTAATTCTCCAAATGGATCTTTGTACCAATTTCTCTGGTGTGCATTCATTAATGTTCAATTTCATTGAACACCCTAAGTTTATTCCCATGCTTTATATTTATTCATACACTGCCATATAGAATGTTCAACTCTGACCATTATTATTGCCAGTTATGTTACATGTTATATTCCTCACTATTCAGATTAATTCATAGCTTCTTTGAGAAGACTTAAAAAGATGATCCAATTTATCATTCTGTTTTTAAATTTTTCTTAGTGTTTTTCACCATCAGGCATATATATATATATATATATATACACACATGTGTGTATATATGCACACATATATACATACATATATACATACATGTATATATGTGTGTATACATACATATATGTGTGTATACATACATATATATTAAGATTTATTTATTGGTACATACAAGAACAGGGAGATGTCTACACTGCTGAGGGGTGCAGTGGGTGGGTCAGGAGAGGTCTGCCATGCCATGTGGGTCACCTCCAGTGGTGGGGATCCAACTCATGCTGAAATGGCTTTAGTTTCTGAATGCTGTGCTTTAACCCACTGCACCACCAGGGAGGGCAGATATTTATATTTTTAAACAGTGATTATTATATGTATTCCAGATTTAAAACATGAGCTCCATTTAACAAAATCCTTTTCTTCTGGTTACCACTTATTTTATTATACTCTTATTATTTTTGTCTAATTAAGGAAATTTGTCTGGTTGATTTCTGTAGATGCTTCAGATGAGTGAAATCATAAGGTCTGTCTTTGTTTGATTTATTTTACTAAGTATAATACTCCTAGGTCCATATGTGCTGATATGAATGGCAGGCTTTTATCTTCTTTTATAGCTGAGTAGTGTTCTATTGTATATAATTACAACTACTCAGTTATCTTCCAATGGACACTTAGGTTGTTTCTAGCTCTTGGCTACTGTCAATAATGTTACAATAAGTATTGCGGTATATATATCTTTTAAAGTCAGCATCTGTATTTTCAGGCAAATATCCAGAACAGGGATAACTGGATAACATAAAATGAGATACTCTTTATTCTTTGAAAAATCTCCCTATTGCTTTCCATACCAATTTACATTCCCACTAACAGTATAGAAAATTTCTCCCTCTCCATATCTTCTCCATGATGACATATATTTTTTAGATAATATCCATTCACACAGTGTGAGATGCTTTCTCACTTCTTAAACTTAAATACTTATTTTTAAAAATAGTTGAATGGATTTTTAACTCTAATTACTATTGATTCCCTTCCTTTATTTAATATGAACTGAAAAAATGTGGGAGAAATCATAAATAATGAATTTGGATAATTATATACTTGTCTAACTATCACTCGATCATCTGTTTATTGATGTCTGTCATTAAATTTTGACAGTAATTATTTTTAATGGGGATCCCATTTTTTAAAAAGATTTATTTATTTATTTATACAAAGCTGGGGTACAGGCCAGAGATGTGGAGGGTGAGAGGATTCACCAGACACAGAGAGGGCAGCAGAACAGGCAGATCCACGAAGTACACTGCTGAGGGGAGCAGCGGGTGGGTCAGGAGAGGTCTGCCGCACCATGTGGATCTCCTCCCGGGCAGGCGGGGACCAAACTCATGCGGAAGTGGCCTTCTTAGTGCTGTGCTTTAACCTGCGGCGCCACCAGGAAGGGCCCTAATGGGAACCCCATTTTAAAGTAATTTTCGAAGTCATTTAATTGTATATGATGTTATCTTTATATTTTATATTTAAGGTCATATTTATTTGATGCCAATAAGCAGGTTGTGTGGTATCCAATGGTCCTATAGTCAAACACTTGACCTTGCAGAGACAACCAAGTCCCTGAGTAAAACATTCAACTTAGACTGTGGCATTTATTTAATGGAACAGGATGCCGAGGACTGGTACTCACAAGTATGCAGCTTTTCCTTCTTCCAGTTCTTTGCTTTTGCCACTGGAGCCACTTTTCTTCCCACACATCCTCCTGGTGATGCACATCAATAACCCACATTGTCGAATAAAGAAGCAGCTAACATCGGTCACCACGAGGATTAGCAAAAGTGCAGCAACACCCAGGCCAATGACTGCTCCAAGCCCAAGGCCATTAAAAAGTGTGTCTTAAAAAGGAAAAAAAAAAAAAATATATATATATATATATATATAAAATGCAAAATCAAGAAAGGTTAAACAATTATTTGAAAATAAATCTTACGTAAGAATTACACAACTAAAAGGGTAAATGTAATGGTCATTAGTAGACTTCAGTTTCCTGAGAAAGAGAGTTAATCCCTCTTGTTTTTCAAGCGATATTTCAAAAAAAAAAAAAAAAAACACTAATATGTTAATGATTTGAGACATTTTTAGAAACTTTCTTTAGAAAAAATTCTTATGTAACCCTTCTTACCAATATACATCTTAAATCCCTGTGGAGAAGATAATGAATATTATCTTATCCTTAACATACTCTTTCAGAAAGTTACTGTCATTAACTGATCATCATTTTTGTTAAAAGGCAAATGCAGTCAAAACTTCTATAGAGAATTGTTAAATAAATGTTCTATTCAGAATGATTTTAAAGAGTTAAACTTACAAACAAGAGCTGAAAGCCATTTGCTTTGATGGAGAACACATTTTAAAATATTTGTCTGCTCATTTTTTTTAAAGATTTATTTATTCATGCATACTGAACTGGGGTACAGGCCAGAGGTGCAGGGAGTGAGAGGATTCACCAGAGACAGAGTGGGGAGCAGAACAGACAGATTGAAGAAATTCACTGCTGAGGGGAGCAGTGGGTGGGTCAGTAGAGGTCTGCCACACTATGTGGGTCACCTCCCTGGCGTGGAATCGAACTCATGTTGCAGTGGCTTTGGAAAGTTTCATAGTGATACGCTTTAACCTGTGTGCCACCAGAGAAGGCCCTCTACTCCTATTTTTAAAGCATGATATTACAATCAATGATTCGGTTATAATTTCCTGTTGATATTTTAACATATTAGAAACACACACTTTTACAGAGTTATGGCATTTGTGACCTTTCTAAAGTCCTATCAGGAGCAGGTCGGGGAACATGCATGTCACTTTTTTCCTTTGCGTGTACTGGGGAGGAAATTCAGCTAGTATCTATGAAATGGTGATGGAGGATAAGGCAAGTATGCTCTATGGAAAAATAGAAATGAGAAAAGGGATGAAAGAAATGTAAATGAATGAATGTTATATGCCTGTATGCGAGTATGAGGCTTAGATTACACAAGTATAACAGTATCTTTTGGAAAATAAACATGTGTAAGGAAGCTAGATAAAACTGGTGGCATTGTATCATGTAAATGGAAAAGATTACATAAGCAATTTATAAAATAATTCAAGACTATCCTTAATATGATGGTGCTAAAATTTATTTATGTGGCATTAAAAATTACTATAATCATGTTTAATTTAAATACATCTACTACTCAGCCATAATGGTGTGTTCAAATACTACTTGTGTGGAACATATTTGACTGATTTAGGGACAGATGCAAATTTGGGTTTTGGCAAAACGGTTTCTTAAGAAATTTGCTACAGGAATATATGTAAAATAACTTTTTCATATGACTAAAAGTGCTTTAATATTTTAATAATGGCTTGGAAATATGATCCAATGAAATTGATTCAGTTATATCGATTTTAATTTTAATATCAATTTACTACTACTTGGATGAGCTTGAACATTTGCACCTGTCTGAAATCCAGCTTGTTTTTCTGGAAAATGACTAATATGAACATAACTCTCTTAACTATACCAGGAAATATGAGTTATTTCTTTTTCTTAATGCACTTAGCTTGCAGGTTGGTTAATAAAAAAATTCCCTTTGTGAAATGGCGGCCTGACACTTTACCAGAAAACCTTTTTTGCACCTGTGAGGGAACACAGATTTCCTGTACTGTCTCTGTGAGGTTGCAATGATAGCCTTTTTTCCTTATATTTCTTTTCTCTCCCATGTCTTAATTAGATGGCACTGTTTTTCAGAATTGTGTTTTTCAGAAAAAGGACCCCAACATCCATGTTTATGCTCCCACACCATAGTATAATCTCCTCTATTTCCATCCATGTGGTGGTAAGTGGCAAGATTTCGTCTTTTCTTTAACTAGCACACACACACAGAATCCATTTACTTGGTCCGCTCACCTGTCCTAGAAGTGTTTATGTGGCTTCCATAACTTGTCTGCTGCAAATAGAGCTGCAATGTTCAAAAGACTGCATGTATTCCTTTAAATTAGTGTTTTTGCATTATTCAGGTAAATACCTAGAAGTGGAACTCTTAAACAATAAAATTATCAAAAATAGACCTCATGTGCTCAAGTGAGCTCTAATTTTGCTTGTGATTATTTTATTTCTAATAGGGAAATAAGCAGTAAACACAATGATTACATTGGAGAAAAATAAATTATTCATACTACTTTCAGAATCTCTTCCTGTATCAAATTTTACCATGATACTTGCAGAAAAATGGCCGAATTAATTTCCAGAGAAATTACTACTTTTACGTATCTATTCTCTTATTACATAAGACCACATTCAGGAAGGACTGGAAAAATAAAAGTATTTTTCAGTCATGGGAATTTAATATTTTTTAAATCTCCACTATACAAATAGAGAATGAAATTCCAAATATTATTTCTCAATTTTCAAATATGTACCTATATGTAAATTAGATAAAACTACTAGTGCATCTCTAGCTATATATATATATATATATATATAAAGCATACTAGATTTTTAGTTACTGAAAATCACTTTATTCATTGTTAATTTTTAATATAAATAATCCTTATAGGAATCTATTATTATTAGATAATGAGGACAATTCACCTATGAAATATCTTATAATCTACAAATCTTTTTTTTTTCAAAATTCATAGGTGATCATTTTCGATATATTATGTGTGATTCAAAAGCAAAGTTCAGGAAGGAATAAATGAATAATACATATTCAATTACACTTTAGTCCCTGTGGGTTTATTGAATCAATGACCTTGTGATTTAAACCAGTCATTCCCCTCCTAGTTGGTTTAGGCTCCTCATATATAGCCATGATTTGAGGCAATAAATTCGACAGATCAATAACCATATATCTTTCCATTAGATCAGTCCTTATTTACCTTTCTAAGTATGGAGAGTCTTGCTTTGTTCTTAAATGCACTGGTTCCGGAGTCAGAAAATCTTGTGTCCTTTGGTGTAGCACCTCATTCTAAGATTGAGATGCCTCTTCATTAAAATGGATACAATTATGAAAACAACCACCACAATCTAGGTCAGTGGTTTGTAGGAGAGACTGTGGATGTAATAATGTGCATAAAATATCTAGCACTATGTTCAGGACCAAGTAAAACTTTGACAAGTTATGGTTATTGTCATTATTATCCATTTTAACTATTATATTATTCTAGGAAAATAAAGGTTTGGTGATGAATTAGACAGTGAATTTCATCTGTAAATATTCCTTGTTTATCAGCAACCTAATGTAGGTCTATCTCTTATTAAGCATGAATTATTCTCTCAAGAATACAGGCACTATTGTTTTAATGACTTAGGTGTGGCTAGTCAGCTTTTAAATGATAAATATTTTATTTGTGACCTTTTCAGTATTACACCAGTATATTGATTTGCTTCATTTCCAACTTTAGCAAATGCTCTTAGAAATATTATATTTGTAAAGTACCTAATGGTTAAGGAATACTGATGTTAAAATAGGTACATTTTTCCCCCTAGGGAACAAAATTAAAAAAAAATTTAAACTTACGATTAAAATTTTGAAGATTACTTGAAGTTATTTTTATGAAAACCAAATATATTTTTGTCATAGAGGATGGGCTTGAACATCAAACAGGGCTATGTTATGAATATTTAATTAAATTGTCTCTCAAAATTTTGCTTAAACTTTAGATTGAGAATATACTTAAATGGTTATACATTTTCACATTATAATAACAATAAAAATTCAAATTCAGGGTTTCACTTTTATGTTTACTATGGAAAGTTTGCTTACTTGATTTTGGATTTTTCACAGATGAAAATGCAGCCTTTGCAAAACCACATCATTAGGATAAAGAGATTAGCAGTGATTTATTTTCTCAGTATCAAACAGGTATGGGCCTCCCTCATGTCCCAGGGGTTAAGTCTCAGCTATGTCCTGTTAGATCCCTGGACAGGGAGCTGACCCACATGGCACAGCAGACCGCTCCTGTCTTCCTGCTACTCCCCTCAGCATTATAATTCAGTAAATCCACCTGCTTTGCTCCCCACTTTGTCTCTGGTAAATCCTCTTAACTCCCTCCTATATGGCCTACACCCTAGATCTTCTATGCAAAAAAACAAAAACAAAAAAAATGCAGATAATTTATAAATGGCTTATGCTTAAAATTATTTGAAAGATATAAAGCAGCATATCATTTAAATATATTTAAATTCATTTTTTTTAATTTTCCAAAATGCATTCATATATGCCTTATGATTATACTTTTAGAACAATTATTTCACAGGAAAACAATACAATTGGCTTACAAAAAAGGAAAATTACATTCCTAAGAGGACAATGGCCTTAGTCAGGTGATATCTCTTGATACTAGTGAGCTTCAGGGTTCATATTTTTTACCTACACTGGAATCAACACATTTTCTATTCAGCATTAAATAATCAAGAGATAAAGCACAATGAATAAACTAAAATTTATTATTTAGTTATAGAAAAAGTCACTATTTTCACTATGCTACCAGTGAGGTCCAATCAATTATATCAGTCTCAATAACATACATTATTTATCTATGTATCCTTGCTTTTAGCTTCCTTTTTTAGTGGCCCTCTTTATTACTGTTATAAAAAAAAAGAATTTTAGATTAGAGTTAAATTATAAGAAAAAACTTTTGGACTGAAAATTGAAACATCTACTTTTTAGTACAAATTTTATTACTAAAAACATAACTGAATGAAATGAAAATTACTGAAAACAAATGTAAGAATCAGTCTTACTGGTATTTATTAACCTCCCTCTAAATCATTCCTGTTGACTCATTTTTTTTTCCCCTGTTAAAAACAAATGACTGGCCTACTAATGTTTCCAAAGTTATGTCAATACCTCCT